CAGTGAGGTTGTCACTGCGCAGGCAAACTGTGCACGCGCAGAAAGGAAATCAGTGACTACCAGACAGAGTGGAAGCACCAGGCAGGCAATGGAGAAGTCTATTAGTGGCATCATTCTCTAACAGGTTTTCAGTTTTTGATACTGCTAGAGAAAATGGTTTCTCAGGGGAATACAGTGGCATGTTGGCAGCACCAGGAATCAAGGAAGTGCTTGAGCAATTGCAGGACATTCCAGGGGGGAAAAGGTTGTGGTCAGTACAATGACGAGTAAAGAGGGATGGGCTCCTGCGAACAGAATGCAAGATACAGGGAGCTAGGAGGTAAATTAAGAAGCGGTTCTTCAAAGGTCCCCAAACCCATCCTGCATCTTCAGCCCCTAATCTCCCAGACTTCTTCATCAACGCTCCCATTCCCCCAGATTCACTTTCCAGTGTCCCCTAACCGCCTCATCCCATACTGAGACCCTCCCCAGTTTCTCCCTACCTTGCTCCCTTTACCGTCGTCCCTAATCCAGTCCACACTACCCATTTGATCTCCTTCCAAGTCCGGTTGAACCTCACCATCTCCAGAACCCCTCCTACCCTACCCCGGTCCTCACCTTTTCTGTCTACCTCCCGTCTCCCCACCACATGTCGGGCTCCCGCCGCGCCGCCCGCTGTTACAAGAACATTAAACTGGACTCTGGATTACTAGTCTATGCCACTGTCACCAAATACAAGTCAGGATTTCGTCATGGAGAAAAAAAACTAATATGCAGCAGTTTATGCATTGAAAAGTTCTGCATTCGGTTAATGTTCTGCATTATTAGTCTTACATCAAATAAATTAGGAGAAAAACAATGGCATCAGTGAATAGTAACCCAAGTTCCAGTTTTATTTTAAAATTATGGAAAAATGCAGCCCACAGGAGGTTACAAAATAAGCAGGACAGAATCAGACCTTTACAATTCAGTGAACTGTGTAATATGGTGTGTGCTGAAAGTACAAACTGAATTTAAATGTCAGTCTCATTTGCCTTCAATAACATCAAAGCAGCAGGAGATCGATCGGCTCTTTGTCCATTACTGTGTGCAGCAATGCTGACTCTTTGAAGTAGCGTCCAGTTCTAAGGCAGCTTTTGTTCTTGCTCCTGTACATCAAGCACATCGCCAGTCTGCTTAAAGCAGAATTGCTTATTTACAATGACGAGCCCTGTCACATTTTATTAGTGCCACGAGGGTCAGGCTTTGTGAAGTGCAAATGGTAGAGTGAATGCCTACAGCTTGACTCTCTTCTGATTATACTTTCTTACTGTTTTCAGGCAGACATTTGAAGAATTTGGTGTTGGTTTCTTACCTTTGCATTACTGAGGTATAAGAGACCTTAATGAAATGAGAGAGAAAGTTATTGCTACTTGTAATTTGTAATCATCTTCAGTAATATCACAAGTTGCTATAGTATTAGAAAATATTAACTTCAGATACTGAACAGGTATGCAGCAGTAACAAATGATGAATTTTAATTCTTTGGACATCTGCAAAAGTAAAAGTAATCCAACTATAAAATACAGTGCCACTTCATTTCAAACCTGAATTTATGTTAGTATCTAAGTGATAAAGAAATGTGCAAAAATATGTCACGTTATAAAATGTATATTAATAATGCTAACAAAAACAAATATCTTTAGAAAAGTGCCCTAAGCTCCTCACTTTCCTCAAGGTTTAATTCCTTCCCTTGATACCAAACATTTTACCTGGGGAAATAAATATTCCTGTTGAACTCAGTTCCTAAGTACAATATATTTCTGCCCTACCTACACCTCTGCCACCCAAAATGAAATATAGTTGTGGTTTTGACAGATTAACAGCTTTACTTTGATCATATCTCTTCTGCCAGTTAGATTTATAGCAAATTTTCATCAGGAAGTAATCTGTGTAATACTGACAGCAACTTCTGACATTCACACATGTACAGTTAAACATATAAATTTGGAAGCTGCAGTCAGTGATAGCCCACACCATCACAGAGTTCACCACTGCAATCTTTACAAATGCAATCAGCGTTAAATAAATAATTTAATGTGAATTTAAACTTCTAACACACTATTCTTATGTTAAAGCCATTAAAAATGTTACATCTTGTTGAACGGGGTGTATCTGAATCTCTAATGGTGTACCAAGTCATAATTACAATTGGACAAACTCTGAGAAGATTATTAATTTTTTTAAAGCTTACTTGTGATATTTCAACTTCAGACTTAATTACATGTTTATTCCCTGATTTTTTTTTATTTCACACTGTGAAATAATTAAACAGTGAAGAGCAACTGGGAACGGACAACAAATTCTGGCTTTGCTAGTGATACGCATATCCCATTAATGAATTTTTTAAATAAATCAGTGCTCTTGTTAGTGAGAATTCTTCAATGTGACAAATTATTGTGAAGGATGAGCAGATAGTATTATATTTTTGATTTTGGAGCAATTAATTTATAAGTTCTTTTCTACTCCAATCTCAAACTCACGTGAGCGCACAAATGGAGTCCGGTACTGCATTTAAAACACAGTTAAATGTTTTGTGACAAACCCATCTGTCACATGGCAGACTTATAACTGCCACAGTGAGAGTGGTCCTTGCTGAATGGGTCACAAGTCAGGGGCCCTGTGCAGCCAACCTCATGGGGGCTGGGCCTCTTATGCATTTGTGAAGATACACAAACAATGCCCGACCCCTCAAGCACAATGTCTGGAGGAATCACAAGTTACGCATTCGACTTATCTGCTGTCCCAGCACCCATTGAAACAGAGTGGACACAGATGTTCCTTAATCTCAATCAACTGTCCAAGAAGAACAGCACTTCCAGAGAAGCTCACTCTGTATTTATGCTGCAAGTTTAATATTTTATTAACTGTTCCCTCTCCTCAGGTACTGTCTGCTTCTTCATCCTCAATTTATTCTTCAAAAACAAAACAAACCCCAAATCTCTTTCATTCCTGTACCATCTCAGGCCTTTTCTCTCTGGTCCTTGAACGTTTTGACACCTTCCTCCAATTCAGGAGATTGGTAAATTATCGCTCTTTGTCCATCTCAACCTCTGAAATTTTTGACATTGTTGACCACACCATCCTACGCCAATACCATCCTTCCACTAACCAGAAGGGTGGAACTACACTCCCTTGGTTCTATTTCTATCTATTGACGTGGCCAAAGAATCACATGAAGCAGACTCTGCACCATTACCTATGGAATACTCCAAGAATCTATCCTTGGTACCCTCCTGTTTATCACCAATCAAAAACATATCAGAGTTCAAATCAATGCCTGAACCCCTTTCACTGCCTCTGATTTGTTACATCAATTGAAACATGGGGGAGGCGATGGCCTAGTGGTATTATCGCTGGAGTGTTAATCCAGAGACCCAGATAATGTTCTGGAGGTCTGGATTCGAATCCCACCACGGCAGATGGTGGAATTTGAATTCAATAAATATCTGGAATTAAGAATCTAATGATGACCGTGAATCCATTGTTGATTGTTGAAAAAACCCATCTGCTTCACTAATGTCCTTTAGGGAAAGAAACTGCCATCCTCACCTGGTCTGGCCTACATGTGACTCCAGATCTACAGCAATGTGGTTGACTCTTAAGTGCCCTCTGGGCAATTAGGAATGGGCAATGAATGCTGCTAGGTCAGTGACGCCCTCATCTCGTGAATGAATAAAAAAAATTCCTCCAATTAAATGCTGGGGAGACCAAATTCATTATCTTCGATTCCCGCCACTAATTCTGTTCTGTAACTACCGATTCCATTCCTGTCCCTGGCAACCATCTGTGGCTACATCAGACTATCTGCAACCATGGTATCTTGTAAGATGCTAAGCTCAGTTTCTGGTCCTATACACTCATCATCAGTATCTTACTTCACTTCTTTAATATCACCCAATACTACCACTTTCAGCTCATCTGCTACTGAAAACTTCATCAATGTTTCCTGATTCAACTGCTCAAAAGCCTCCCATTTTTTCTCCTCTTAATTCTAGGTTATCCAAAATTGCCCCTATCCATGTCCAGTGACCTGTTGACTTTTATGTTGTCATGGACCACACTTCTCAAAATCATTCTCTTAATCAAACCATTGTTCACCAGTGCCAATATCTCCTCATGAGGCTTGGTGTCAAATTCTGATTGATAATTGCTTCCGTGAAATGTCTGGGATGTTTTACTCTTACATAGGTGCAATATAAATGCAAGTTACTGTATGCTGGTTGTGAAACAGAAACTAATTGAGAACAATTCTAAACCATCAGTGTGAATGCAACTCAGATCGTAACTTCAAGCCTAATCTCATGAGAAAAATGCAACTAAAGCAAGTAGCCCAGATTACAAATGCAACATATTCCATTTGAACAAAATACAAACAGTGTTGTGAAGATTTTGACTAATCCAAATTTTGAACTACAGTGAGCCCTTCTGGTGGAAGTGTGTTATTAGCAGCATAGGCAAACACATGGAACTTGGGAAAAATGGCACCAAAATCAAAGCTAGCACTTGGTTTTCATTCCAACTATCTATTTCAAAAGACAGGTGTGGAGATTTTGTTTTTCTAACCATCTTTTCTTGAATTTTACATGATGAAAGTGAATTCTGCCTTTATTTTCAGTTTAAAAAGTACATTTTGAACAATATTTGTGGATTTACTTTGAGGTAACTCACGCTGAGGAGGAAAAATAAAGTTAATAATTTAAAACCTAACAGAATTATGATCAACAGTTTATCAAAGTACTAAGACCTGACTGTGGAACTGTAAATAAAGCGCACAAACCTAGCCTTTAATGGGGGATCTGCAATATTTGCAGCAACTATGGAAGGTGGCTTCAGTTATTTCTCTGTAGCCGTTAATGCTAACATGGGTTCCTGCTACTGAATACTTGTTAATTAACATGTGACTTCATTGCACAGGAACACTTTGGACCAACACATGTTGAAGTACATGCTTTTTGTTACCAAGTTTAAATAAACAACCACTGATCTGTGTTCTAATAATTTTCCTTTACTATCACTAAGCCTTAATGAGTGCTTTGTTGGAGCACACTTTTACTCCCTAGATTGCCAAAGAGAAAATTTATCAATCTGTAGCAAAACTGCCATAGAAAAGTTATGCCAAATATTGGCCTAGTCAAGACTATAATGTAATTAAGGCAACCTTCACACTTTTACGCCTTCTATATATATATATATAGGCTAAATAAAAGGTTTATCATTACCTCATTGATTGTTTGTCCTAAGTTCTCCTGAGACTGGAATGGCTTCCTAAATAAAACAATAAACATTATTTAATGTGGAATCATTTGTTCTTTAATGTTCTCTATTATACTGATTATAATTCAAATAGATTCAATAACATTTGCACTGATTTTAAATTAACCCATCCAACAAACCTGGGTGAATCCTCCTCAGTCTTTCTTAGTCAATGAAATATATGTTTGTTGAGTGTTAGGAATTATTGCCTTAATGTCTTCTGCAAGAAGTAAGATTATCTCGTAATAAACTTTTCCAGTCCCCTGCTGCAAACTCTGCCATTATACCTTTGTAATTCCCTTCAAGTTTAAGAAACTAGTTTCAGACCCATGTTCCCCACTCTGAAACTGATGTGACATTCTATCATGTTATGAATACTCCTGCCTGGAAGATCCTGAACTGTGACATCATTATTAAATTCTATTTCATTATCACAATATCTAAAGTAGCCTGCTCCCTGGTTCATTCCAGCTTATTCTTCTAAGAAACGCTCCCAAATATGCTCTCTAAATTCATCTTGAAGGCTACCTTTGCCAATTTGATTTGTCCAATCTACATAGTGATTATAATTACGCACTATTATTGCAGTACCTTTCTTACAAGCCCCCATTATTTGTTGTACTATCGTAACTAATGGTGGTTTTTTTTTTTGGGGGGGGGGGGGGGGGGGGTGTCCTAGTGACTTCTTTCCCTTGCCGTTTCTTATCTCCACCCAAAATGATTCTATATCTCAATCTTGCAAACCAAGATCATTTCTCACTTCTGTACTGAACTACTCCAGCTTCTTTGCCCTTATTTTAATGAAATATTAAATATCCTCAAATAGATGGCACTATCTCTGATGTCTAGTAGAACCCCAAGTTCAATGTTTGAATCTTGTTAACCCACTGACATTAAACAGCACTGATTATAATTAACTAGTTGTGTCAATAATTAAAGAAAATTTGAAAATACAAAGAAATGCAATTGTCAATCTTAAATTTATCGAGTGTTGTTAAATTTTAATGGTATTTTTGTAACAATTTATTTTTTTTAATGTGTATTGTAATGTACAATTTGTATGTGCCTAAGGCACTTAGGTACACTTTGTCATCTCACATTCTGTGCTTGACAGGAACAAAAAAAACTTGTTAATGATATTGCAAGTCAAATCCAGTAAAATTAATAAGTAGCTTTTCCCCACCTGTCTATTTTGGTTTCGACAGTGACTGTAAATTGCGCCTCACTGTTGGGCAGATATGTAGAAGGAACAATCTCATAATTTCCTGTTGGGAGGGTGCAAAGTTGAGTCATTTCTTGTGTGTAGCGATGAGGCACACAAGCCACCACAGGCTCTAGATGTTGGGGGGATGCTTGATTCAAATTTTTATCATGTACCTGTGTGAAACAAGTGAAACATCCATTACGTCCATGAATAGTTAATTTCAGGAATTCAGAAAGGTACAGCTTCTTAGAACAGGAACAGCAGAGATTAATTCCTCCCTGGCTATCAAGTTACCATCACCGTAATGGGTATCAGTGGTACACAATTCCATTGGATCTAAGTGAATGATAATGCTGCAAGTTGCTATTAGATTATAGATTTATTATTATAGATTACTGGGCCTGCTGTCGATGCATGCAAGTGCAAACAAAACAAAAATATAACTTTTTTTATTTACTCATGGGATGTGGATGTCGCTGGCTGGCCGGCATTTATTGCACACACCTAAATGTCTTTGAGAAGATGGAGTTGAGCCACCTTCTTGTACCACTGCAGTTCACTCGCTATTGGTTGGCCCACTACTCCCTCCCCTTAGTGAGGGAGTTCCAGGATTTTGAACCAGCAACTGTGAAGGAACGCTGATATGTTTCCAGGTCAGGATGGTGAGTGGCTTAGAGAGGAAATTGCACATGGTGGTGTTCCCATGTTTCTGCTGCCCTTGTCCTTCTATATGAAAGCAATTGTGAGTTTTGAAGCTGCTGTCTAAGATCTTTGGTGAATTTCTGCAATGCATCTTGTAGATAATACACACCGCTGCTACTGACTGTCAGTGGTCGAGGGAGTGGATACTTGTGGAAGTGGTGCCAATGAAGCACACTGCTTTGTCCTGGATGATGTCAAGCTTCTCGAGTATTGTTGGAGGGAAAGTCACTGATGAAACAGCTGAGGATGGCTGGACCTATGACACTATCCTGAAGAACTCCTGCATAGATGTTCTAGAACTGAGATGACTGACCTCCAACAACCACACCCATCTTCCTATGTTGCTAAGTACGACTCCAACCAGTGGAGATTTTGCCCCCCGACAGCCATTGATTCCAGTTTCGCTAGGGCTCCTTGATGCCATACCTGTTTGAATGTAGCCATGATGTCAAGGGCTGTCACTCTCACTTCACCTCTGCCCATGACAGTATCGGCATGAGTGACCACTGCACAGTCCTTGTGGAGACAAAAGTTCCGCCTTCATGCTGAGAATACCTTCCCTCATGTTGTGTGGCTCTATCACTGCGCTAAATGGGACAGACTTTGAACAGATCTACCAACTCAGTACTAGGCATCCATGAGGTGTTGTGGGTCATCAACAGCAGCAGAATTATACTCCAGTACAATCTGCAAACCCATGGCCCAGCATATCAGGTGGCACAGTGGCTCAGTGGTGAGCACTGTTGCCTCAGCACCAGGGACCAGAGTTCGATTCCAGCCTTGGATGGCTGTCTGTGTGGTGTTTGCATGTTTTCTCTCTGTCTACGGGGGTTTCCATCAGGTTGTCTGGTTTCCTCCCACAGTCCAAAGATGTGCAGCTTAGGTGGATTGGCCATACTAAGTTGCCCTGTAGTGTCCAGGAATGTGTAGGCTAGGTAGGTTAGCCATGGGAAAAGCAGGGTTACAGGTCTGGGTGGGTTGATTTTCTGAAGGCTGGTGCAGACGTGATGGACTGAATGGCCTCTATCTGCACTGTAGAGATTCTATGATTCTGCTTTTGAGTTAGAAAGTTGTGTGTTCAAACTCCAACCTGGAACTCGAGAATATCTTTGACGTTCACACTTTGTTGCATAATAATAGACTTAATTGTTCAACAAATTGCTTCAGAAACATACATCAAATGGAGAAAAGCTCTTTTGTTTGCCCAGGATTTACAGACCCTTCTACAAGGGCTTGGTTAGAGAAGAACAAACTTAGACATTTACACTACATTCTACATTCCACAGTGATCTTGAACCACTGAGCAGTTTTGGCGAAAGAGATTAAGGACATAATATTCATATGAACATATGGATCAGGAACAAATGTAGGCCATTCAGCCCCTCCATTCAATAAGATCTCGGCGGACCTGATTGTAACCTCAAATCTCTATCCCCAATAATCTTTCAACCCTTTGCTTATCTAGGATTTTTTTTACAGCGAGAGTTCCAAAGATTCTCAGTCCTCAAAATAAAAGCTTTATCTTTATTTTAAAAGGGCAAGCCCTGATTTTTAAACAGTGACCCCTAGTTCTTGATTCTCTCACAAAAGAAAACATCCTTCAGGATTTTGTATGTTTCAATCAGGTCGCCTCTTAGTCTTCTGAACTTACAATTCAAGCCTAGCCTGTTCAACCTTTCATCAGAAGACAAGCTGCTGATTCCAAGTATTAGTCTAGTAAACCTTCTATGGTTGTCTCCAATGCATTTACATCCTTCCTTAAATAAGGTAACCAATACTGCACTGATCCAGATGTGGTTTCATCAATACCCTATAAAACTGAAGCACAATCTCCTTACTTTTGCATTCAATTCTCCTCATAATAAATAACATTCTATTACATTTCCAAATTACTTTCCTGTAGACTAACCTTTTGTGATTTACGCATGAGGACACCCAGACAGAAGTTTAGTTGCCAAATTTGCTGATGACACAAAGATACAGTTGTGAAAAGGACACAAGGAAGTTACAAAAATATATTCATTAGCCAAGTTGGCAAAGATGAGACAAATGGAGAACAACATGTGAAAGTATGGATATGTCCATTTTGACGGGAAGAATAAGAAAGAAACATATCTAAATAGTATAGACTGCAGAGCAAAATGCAGATTGCAGATGCAAAATGATCTGGATGTCCTCATGCATAAATCACGAAAGCTTATTAATTTGTTTTTGCAGTTTCAGTTCATTTGTTTTGCTTTGAATACCGTGTGCATTCTGATACAGAGCCGTTAGTTTTACCTTTTTGCTTCCTTTGTAAATTCTAGTCGTACCTGTTACTTGGTTTTAGTTTATGACTGAAAATAATTGCCCATGTTGTTAGAAAAATCATCAGTTAGCACTTCCAGTTGAATGATTTGGTACACTTTAAATTCAACATTTTCAATCCAGGTCAATCAAAAGTGCTTCTAATTCAGGATCAAGACTTTTATTCAGAGATTTTCAGCATCATTCAATGCATGAGATTACCTGATAAACATGGAATCCTATTGGAAGGAACTGTCCATCTACACTTTCCTGGCACAGAGTGATTCGAACATTTCCAATACCAGTTTCAGAGAGGATTGAGAATGGCAAATGTGGATTAGTGCTGTATGTTGGGAAGTTCCTGCTTCCACCTGCATTCTTTCCATTGATCCACGAATCTGTAAACTGCATTATCTCCCATTCCCCTTCAGAATTTTCCTCCAACTGCGTAAGTGGATGAGCTGCTTTCACTACACTGAGGGCATAGGAATATTTAATAAAATATTTCGAGAAACCATCATGAAGAGTGTTTCATTACAGTTGGTGCAAAACATTAAAGGAGGAAAGTGATTTTGGAGTAATTACAAATCCAATATTAATTTTTGTATTTTGTAAAAAAAAAATTTAAATAGTCACTCATAGAATCATTTAACCATTCTGTGCTCCAGCCGAACTGTTATGTCTGGTTTCTTAGAGATAGAAATGTAGGTCTGTTTAAATTTCAAACAGATGAGCTCCAAGGTTGAGGGAGAACAGTTGATGTTCATTCAGCTTTTTATTTAAGTGCTCAGTTCTTCTCAAGTAGTTGTTGACTTCTGGGCAGGAAAAGGTCAGAAAGGGAAAGGGATAAACTGATGGTTGTAAATGTGATAGATCTACAATAAAACGTTTGTAAATCTCTGAAGTCTTTTGCCACCTAATTCAACATATGGATTTTGATGTGTGAAATATGGTTCACCAGTAAGGCAACCACTAATGGTGAACATTTAACCTAATATAAAAGTTGAAGAGTTTATCTATTTCTACACAGATTCATTAACAGATCGAGAATAAAGACTTGGTTACACCAAACAGATTAAATGCGAGCTATATACGATTCAAGAGGAACCAACATTGAGGTGGAATGACCAACATCCACAGATTCAGGACATGGTCAAGAAGAAATTGCGTGTTTCAGAAATCCAGGATACTTAAAAAAAAAATTGCTTCAACAGAATATTTGCTTCCATGTATGGAACTCATGAGATTAAAGGACCCCGAGGGTGTCAAGGGGCAACTGATTCAGCAGGGAACACATCCACAGTGAATGAAATTCAGGAGATTAAGGGTCTACCCAGGGAAGATAATAGACTGTCTGACTAGTTTAGCAGGAACAGCAACCACAGTAAATGACATCCGAGAAATGAAAGGTCCTCCACTGAATGGAGATATTACAGATCATGCAGGGCCAATAACAGAATCAAAGTCAACAGTCCTCAAACCATAGACCAACCAATCTTCTGAGTCCCAAGAGAATACAATTTGGAAGAATTGTGAAACCTCCAGACTGCCTGAATATGCGGAGTCAGAAACTTTAGTAAATGGGGTACTGGTAAACATAATTATATACATGAATACATAAATGCTAACCATGGGAAAAAAAAAAGCTTGGTAGGTGCTGGCAGTGAAGCTGTTGCCAAAGGTAACAATTCTTTAAGGACTCATATTGGAGACTGCATCATGGTCCACCCAATCTGATGATTTCATGCAAACTTGTGTGTGGATAAGGCAGAACAGCTTAGGACCTTGTCGGATAGACAGTGATAAAGTAGACCTCGCTAACATAACTTGTACCAGATTGCTATCATGCAATAAATGACATCTTATTTAAGAGCCTCTTCTCATAAAGACTCATTAGGTAGCAGCAAACTATTCCCATCACAAGCAGGCGGTGGTGGGCACCTGAAAACAAATACAACAGTTCTTACCTCAATGATATTTTAGATGTTGAAAAAGCACGTAGTAGAAAATGTCCATCTTCGTCTTTCATGAATGTACTTGGGATGACAAGATAGTAGCCAGGTGTAAGATCACAATGCAGTTTCACTTCCCTGTCATACGTATGGCATTCTGTTGAAATGGTTGGTGTTTTGGCAACAGTTTTCTGCAAATTAAATCGTTTCTTCTCTACCTAAAATTTCATACAGTAAAGGGAAGGTTGGTTGTTTGAAAGGCAAAATCTAAACTGAATTATCCATTCTCTTTCTTTAAAAGAAAAGGGAATAATCAAGGCCAAAGAGATCATCATATTGCAAATCTTAGAGTCATCTCCTAATTGGACTGGATTTTACTACTTTCTGGTTTCAGGAAGTAATGAAAGATGCTTCTGCTTTATGTTTCTATTCATAAAACTAAATTCCACGTGAAGATTTCCAATTTACAAGATCACAAGTTTAGGGTCTCAGATACATTCTCAGATACAGAGATGCTTGTCACTGCAATTACAAGACAACAAATAAAAACAATATATAGAAACAAATCAACAGTCTAGATGTTATCATACATCAAACACAGATTAAATATTTAATTCCTGCCTAAGTCATTTGATTTGAGCCAACAGTACCTTCCATACATGTAGCCCTATTGCTCGATGACGTTTCTGTTGGAGGACATCAGTGGTGGGGTCTTCTTCAATATTCTGACAATGCATAGTAGCCTTCTCTGACCAACAAGCCTTGTCATTTCTGTTGCTGGAATCATGTTTTTTTTGTAATATTGTGATAACTACTTCACCTGGATCCAAAATTCTCAACCAGAATTTGGGGTTGGTACAGAAACTACTGTTGTTACGGCAACCACCAGCAGATAGACCTAACACCCACTGTCCTGAAAGTTGTAGTGTATGACGCAAACTTTTACCTAAAAAATAAATGCAAAAATTCTAAATACAGACATTGTTACCTACATATTACATAACAAATAAAGAGAGCCCTTTCATAATTTTACCAGTTAGGTTCATCATGACACAATACATTGTTTGTCCATTAGCAGCCACTACTCACCAGGCATCACTATTGGTTATCTCACTTGCTGAGTACAATGAACATTTACAAACTGATGGTAGTATATATACAGATAATGCCTGATTAACTATTTAGGGCTGATTTAACATTTCAGAACATTAACACACAGTCTTCTAGAGAAAAAATACTTAATCAGAAAACAACAGAGGTAAACAGAGAACTTGCATTTTATGTAAAATTTGGTTTACATTGTATTTTGACACAAACATCAAATGCTTAACAACTTGCAAAGCATTTTGCAACTAATAGGTTACTTCTGAAATGCAGTCACTTATGCAGGCAAGCACAAAAAAATCAAGCAGCAAATGGAAGAATGACGAGATAATATGTTTTGGTGTTGTCGCTAGACATGGGAATGTCAATCAACAATCACAGAATCTCACTCTCTCCTCAATGTCTACATGGCATTTCTGGATTAAATGAATTAAATTAAATAGCCAGGATGCAAGGATCTGTAGTGGCTACTGGCCGAATCTGTTGCAGCTCCAAAAGCTGGCAATAGTGACAGTTAAAGATGCAAGTTACTGTTCTGTGACTGGGGGGACATCATTGACACATGATAACAGATGGCTCCCCATTGTTTTGACTTATGAGTTGCTCTCGCTACTGTTTTTCAATCTGGCAAGCAAAGGTCTACCACTGTGAGGAATCTGACTCCTTAAGATAACTTTTTGTTTATTTATCTAATTGGTGTCAGTTGAGTAAAGAGTTAGTGCTTCATTAGTTCAGCATGCTTTACCCTGTGCTACATTAAAGCAGATAAGTTGGCTATTCAGCTCATTGACTTTGTGCTAGGTCTTTGAAACAGCCACATAATTAGATCACTTCCTAGCTCTATGCCTACTGTTCTACAAATGCATCCTTTTCAAGTATCTATCCAATTCCCTTTGAAAGTTATTATTGAATTCTCTTCCATCACCTTTTCAGGTAATGATTTCTGGATCATCATAATTTATAACCGGGAAAAAAAATTCTCATCTCTAAATGGCTTTTTTGGTTACCTATACTCCTGCTAGTGGTAATTTGTTTTTCTTAGTCTATGCTGCTTTGAATATCAGCAGCAAATTTATGATTTCAGACAACTCCATTAAATCTCCATTTAGCATCCTGTGAGCAGAATAACCACAGCTTTACCCATCAGTCCATGCAACTGAAGTACTTCAGCTAGGGTATCACTGCAGTAATTGTATGGGATCCTCTGCACCCTTTCCAAGGTCTTAACATAATTTCTGTTTGATCATCTGTATTTTTTTACTTTACATTGATATTCCATTGAAAATCTCAGGTTGATGCCCACGAATTTTCCAAGCATTCCCCTCAGTGTAGCTTTCGGTCAGTCCTCCCTGGATACAAAATGTGAGCAGGCTATCTAAATGCATTTAAAGATCTTCCTGGTATAATTCAAACTATCACTTAAGATTATACATTTTCTAGTGCTTAATTTTGCCGCCACTGCTTGGTAGAATAATGTCAAGTTTGCTGGTATTTCATTCTAAAATTGAGATAATGGGCTCTGTTCCCTCTCCTTCACTTGCTCAAAACATGTTAAATTTCTAACGTTTTCCTGTTCTAATGAAATGTCAGACCTGAAAATGTAATTCATTCTTCTCTCTGCAGAGATGCTGCCAGACCTGCTGAGTACAGGTACTTGCAGAATTCTGTTTTATTTCAGAGTTCAGGATTCCAGAATTTTTTGCTTTAGTATTCTGCAATCTTCATTGCTTTTATCCACTACAGCCTTTTGGTCCAACTCACTACAGAAATTCCTTCTGGTTCCACTTAAAGCTTCATTTTAAAGTGGTTTCATCCTTTAAATGGATGTTGCAGCACTTGAAGTGCTGCAGGAATACTATGCATGTCATTATTCCGTACCATGTGAGTTATGATCATTGATCCAAGGTTAATATAAATCACAAAGTATCATAAGTATCTAAACTTACCTGTTAAAAGACTGAGGATGTGTCCCTCCATATTTATCGGATATCCCACTGTTACCTCATCAAAATCCCGAAAAAATTCATGCTCCTCCACCCAGAATTCCCCATCCTCTGCTGCAGACTGCAGGGCTGTAGCAATGGCAGGATCCAATGTTTTCCAACTATCGCCTCTGTAAAATAAATCGCTGTTCAAAACTTAGGAGTCAACTCATTATTAATAACTGATCGTGTTCATGTGACGGCGAGGGCAACTGTGGACTTCAGGTCAAACAAAATCATGGAGTAGGGGCAATGGGGAACATGGAATAATTTGGAATCCATGGGGGACATCAGGAGAGGAAAGCTCAGGGTGGGAGTTACACATGATGAGTTTAAAAGACAAGAGGAGAGTGGAAAGAAGAATAAAAGGTGAGGCTAGGAGGACAAGTTGGAAGAGGGAGTTGTTAGCAGTTGCATATTGAATCTGCTGCTAAGTTAGGTGACAGTTGGTCGGTCTGAGTGATGTACTCTGTTTGATGGGTGCAGGATAACATGTTACTCAATAAAGGTTGGTAGCAGTTTGTTTTCTGAATTCAAGTGTGATGGGCTAAGTATGGATGGGTGGTAGAAAGGATAGTCCCTTCCTGTTTGTGGGTCTGTTCAGTAAGGAGGGGATAGCTCATGTTAGCAAGACTGTGCTTAGTGGGGAAGAGGAAGGAACTTTGCATGCATACTACCCAGGTGAGGAAGATGGGTGATCATATCACAGAATCACAGAAGTATTATGATGCAGAAGAAATAACTTCTTAATCTCACATTTTGCAAATCAGTTCATATCTGTGCCCAAATCCTTTTACAAGTGGGAACAGTAACTCCCCATCTATAATAAAACAAAGAACTACAGATGCTAGAAATCTGAATCAGAAACAGAAATTGCTGGAGAAACTCAGCAGGTGAGGCAGCATCCGTGGAGTTACTGCTTCAAGTTGAGTGACCCTCCTTCAGATCTGGTAGTAGCGAGGAAAAGGTGGTATTTATACTGATGACACTGAGGGGGTTGGGGAAAGAAAGAGGATTGAGTGGATAGATGGAGACAGCGTCTTGAGAGAGAAAGAGAGAAAGACAATTAGGCAGGGAAGGAGAAAAGCTGATAATGGGGACAATGAGTCACACAGTCATATAGTACAGAAACAAACTCTTCAGTCTACCTCGTCCATGCCGAATCAGGTTTCCCAAACTAAGCTAGTCCCACTTGCCTGCATTTGACTCATATCCCTCTAAACCTTTCCTTTTCATGTACCTGTCCAAATGTCTTTTAAATGTTGTAACTGTACCTGCATCCACTTCGTCTGGCAGTTCATTCCACACATGAACTACTCTGTGTGAAAAAGTTGCCCCTCAAGTTCCTTTTAAATCTTTCTCTTCTTACCTTAAAAATATGTCCCCTAGTTTTGAACTCCACCACACCTCGGAAAAGAACTTTGCTATTCACCTTATCTATGCCCCTCATGATTTTATAAACCTCTTAAGGTCGCAGCGAAAATGTGCAGCTTGGGTTGTGGACATGATTGTTCATTTGTTGTTCTATGATGTGCAGACGTTTCATTACCATTGTAGGCAACATCATCAGTGTGACCTCTAATTGAAGCGTTGGTGTTCTGCTCCGTTCCAAATTTATATGATCCTCTGGTGTGGTGGGTCTTGTCACTTTCGGTTCTGTTTTATAGCAGCGGTCTGTAAATGGGGTCTATTTCTATGCGTTTGTTAATGGAGTCCTGTGTTGAGAACCAGGCCTCCAGAAATTCCGTTGCACGTCTGTTGTTCGCTTATCCCAGTATAGTCACTTTGCCCCAGTCAAACTGATGGCCTTCACTGTCTGCGTGTATCGAGACAAGTGAATATTGGTCATATCTTTTTACTGTCAGCTAGTGTTCGTGTATCCTGGTCATCAGTTTCCTCCCGTTTGTCCAATGTAATCTCTATTGCACTCACCTGCATGGGATTCTGCATATCATGTTAGTCCTGTTTACTGTTGGTATGGGGTCTTTAATCTTTGATAGCATTTGATGCAGTGTTGATGTAGGTTTGTGTGCAATCATCATCCTATGTGGTCTAAGGAGTCTGGTTGTCATTTCCGATATATTTTTGATGTAGGGTAGAGTTACTAGTGTCTTCTGTTGTACCGTGTCCTCTGTAGCTGGATAGGTCACTCAAAATAGCAAAATCAGATAATATACCAAGCATGCTGGGAAATCAAGCCAAGCATCGGCCAAAGTATCTGTGCAAAGATACTGAAATAAACAAGCTGCAGATCCAGACAGGCAGGCTACAGCTGCTGACAGCACAATACACAACTGACTAAGATAACACAGTGTGAAGCTGGAGTAACACAGCAGGCCAGGCAGCATCAGAGGAACAGGAAAGTTGATGTTTCGGGTCAGGAGCCTTCTTCAGAATTTCTAAAAAAGAATGCCGACCCAAAATGTCAACTTTCCTGCTCTGCTGTGTTCCTCCAGCTCCACACTGTGTTATCTCTGACTCTAGCATCAGCAGTTCTTACTATCTCTGACACAAGTGACTAAGCCTATTTACCAGGACAACAGGAAACATCGAGCTGTTTCCGGAACAAAGGGACACCTCACACCCTTACCTGGGAAGCCTACCTGACTTACGTGCCCTTAACACTTTCAGAAATGGAGGACCAAATACCACCCCACCATCCGCACGGCACTGCCTGATTGGGTCTGATCAATCAAGGTGATTGACTTCTGATCGATCCATTGATGGAAATCGAAAATTCTCCCAAAGGGGTGCGGAAGCTTCCAAGGATAAGAATTGTCACAACAGTACCCTTGGGAGCAGTAACCCGAGACCAACCACTGAAAAAAGAGGCGCCCTAGGACCACTGGGAGAGGTTGACCAGACGACCATCACCATGTGGATCAAGGTCAAGGTCTAGTGTGGTAATGTTTGATCATTCCAAGTTAAGTTAAAGTACAAGATACTGACTTAGATTTACAGTATTAATTATCAGATTTATAGTGTTAATTGTTAGATTGTAGCATAATCGTTATTATAGTATTAATTGTGTTATAACCAATAAGGATCATTTCATATTACTATTAAGAGTCGACTCACAGTCCTTTGTAGGATATACGGGCTAAACACACTGTGTGGTGAGTGCAACACCTCTGACAGTCATTTGTTTTGTAGGCATCAGCGGATGAAACTTCTTGGGTATTCATTGTCGGTAAATATTTTGTGCAGGTGTTCCTCTCCCATTCTCCGGAGTTCTAGGATGTTGCAGAGTGATGTGGCTCGTTTAAATAGTGTCTTAATGCAGCTCTGTTTGTGTACGGTGGGCTGGTTGCTATTGAAGTTCAGGATTTGGTCCGTGTGTGTGGTCTTCCTGTACGCTCAGGCCTAGAATTCACCGTCAGTCTCTTTACCATTACATCGAAGAACAGGAGCTGTTTGTTGTTTTCTTCTTCTCTTGTGAATTTTATGCTTGCAAAGATGCTGTTAACAAGTTGGTGGGTTTCTTCTACTTTTGAGCATTTGATTATTACAAATGCGTTGTCCACATATCTTATCCATGGTTTTGGTTGGATTATAGGAAGGACTGTGTGTTACAGTCTCTGCATCCCTGCTTCTGCGATGAGACCTGAGATGGATGATCCCATCGGTCTGCCATTGATCTGTTTGTGTATTAGACCATTGAATGTGAAGTACATTGTTAGGCATAAATCTAGTAGTTTCAGTAAGCTGTCCTTTCTGATGTTCAGGATCGGTGCTCCTGGTACTTCTAGTAGCGTGGCTAGCGTCTCTCCAGCTAACGGTATGTCAATGGATGTAAATAATGCTGTAATATCAAAGGAGATCATGACTTTGTCCTCGTCAATTTCTGTGTCCCTGAGCTGTGAGAGAAATTCTTGGGCCAAATGGATTGAGTGCGGGGATCGAGATGTTTAGGTCTCTGTTGTAATTCCATTGCTAGCTTGGTGTGTAGGTGTGCCTGGTAAGGAGACTATTGGTCTAAGTGGGATTCTAGGTTTGTGTACCCTGGGGAGTTCGTAGAAGCGGGGGGTGTTTGAGCCATCTGGTTTCATTCTATGTAGTCAGCATTGGTGATCTCTCTTGCATAGTTAAGTTTCTTGAGTGTCTGGATTATCCCGTTCTCTAGCTGTAGTGTGGGGTCTGATGCCACCTGTTGGTATATGGCTGTATCAGCGAGTACTGCCTGTGCTTTCTCGACGTAGTCTGTTCTGTTCAGAACGGAATGGTGGAAAAGTTTAAAGTCTCGTGTCTGACTGCTGTTTTAGTCTGTGTGGCTGGGCACAGCACAATCATTCTTTAGTGGAAATCTATGCACAACGAACACATGCAGCATTCTGAATATATTAGGTACAGCTGCGATTCTGCAGATTCTGGTCATTCATAACCATGGTCATTCGTCCTTTGTCCCCTGATAGGATTGTGAAGTTTATAAACCTATATAAGGTAATCCCTCAAGCTCCTATGCTTCAGTGAAAGAGGTTCTAGCCTATTCAGCCTCTCCTCATAACTCAAACCCTCCAGTCCCGGCAAAATCATGCTAAATCTTTTCTGAATCCCCTCCAATTTAATAATATCCTTCTTATAGCAGGGCAGTCAGACTGTACACAGTACTCCAAAAGTGGTCTTACCAGGCTGTACACAACATGATGTCTCCACTCCTATACTGAATGATTTGATTTGATTTATTATTGTCACATGTACCCAGGTACAGTGAAAAGTTTTGTTTTGCAAGCGGTACAGGCAGATTGTACCATACAAATTGCATTAGGGTAATAGAACAGAACGAAGAATAGAATGTTTCAGAGATAGCAGGAACTGCAGATGCTGGAGAATCTGAGATAACAAGGTGTAGAGCTGGATGAACAGAGCAGGCCAAGCAGCATCAGAGGAGCAGGAAGGCTGACGTTTCGGGCCTAGAAAAT